ATGGTGGTAGTACTGATGGTTCATTTGAATGTTTAATGAGAATAATTTCGAAGCGCATAACCGCCGCTATGTGGAAACTAAGGTGAACCGTTTGAGTATTATCGCTTTTTTCTTTGCTAATAGTTATCCAAAGCTTCATGCTTAATAATTCAAGAGCTTTTTGAGTCATATAAATTATTGCATTGCTAATGTGGACTTGATTGCCAAAAAAGAAAAATCTTTCATTAATGTCTTACTTCATTTTTTTTTTTAAAATTCTTAAATTAAAAAAAATTTACTAGTCATTTATTTATATGGATCATTTATGTTTTGCTTAGAAGAATTCACTTTTTTTTTTTACACAAAAAAATTTTCCTAACTTTGTAATGTTTTCAGCAACTATTGCTTGTTTTCAAAATGTTTTCCATATAATTCCTTTTCGCCGTTTTCGTTATCATTATTTCATTGGTCATCAGTTAGATCTCTGGTTTTCTTTTTTTCTTTCATCTTCCAAAAGTTTAGCACGTTTCGAACAAACTGAGGAGAAACAGTGCTGATATGTAGCAGGTCAACAGATCAGGCAGTTCGAACTGGCAGCAGATATTGTACTGAATGGTTGAGCGGTCCTTATACTAAGCTTGGTTGTAGCATTTACTGAAGTATCATTATTTTTGCCATATGTCTGGTTGATGTATACCCAAACTATGAAAGCAGAATGATAGCAAAATGAAAATTTATCAAATTTTCTTATCAAAATTGAAGTTTTAATCAATTTTGATATCGTTGCATGTATCATTTATTTATAATGAAATTTCATATTAAAAGTTAAACTAATTTCTACGAAAGAAAATCCCATATTGCTGGAAATGTTCATTGTTGGCATCGGCGATGATACCACTCGTATTCAAGCCGATATTTATATTTTATATTGGTAGCTGGAATTTGTTGAGTCAAATTCTTCTTGAAATTTAGTTTTTAATGGGAAATTTTATGACTTACAATTTAAGTAGTACTTCGAATTGGCTTTCTGGCGAAGAACGATCACGTTTGGAAGCAGTACAACGAGATTGGCGTCTTTCGAGACCCGCTAAACCTTATTCGGTTTGTTTTTTACCAGCACTCTTCATTTCTTAATGTTAAATATGTTTAGGAAGAATTGCTGTATAGGTAAAAATGCATCTACATGACTGGCAATCATTCAAATTATTTTGGGAAACAAAAAAAAAGTTTCGATCCGGATTTTTCCCACGTTCTGGTACAAACAACAGCAATATGCATTCAGTAGAGCTTTTTATGTTGATGTAAAGGAAAAAAAAATTGGGAAGTATTGTAAGCTATTCGAGGGAATTCATCTTTTGGGTCGAGAAACAATGTATACGACATGAGAATATAATAAAACGGGATAAAATAAAATGGAGAATAAATGATTAAACTTTAGTAATTAGTAGTAAATATCTTACGTCATAAATATTGCATAAATCATATCTCGTTTGAAATATATTATTTATGGGTTATCGTAATGATATATGTTCTTTATGTTGGCAATATTTCTGTATATCAGTGTTGTTTTCCTTGCTCAGTGTGTTATTAGAAATATATACATTTTTGTTTTTGTCTAGCCATGGAGTCGTTATCGACAACCGTCAGTAGACAAGTCATCCAAGCCATCAGGAACCATCGCACAGAACGACGCAAGCGCACATCAGCAAAATTTATTCGGACGAAACAGGTTTCGTTTTGATGCTTTTTTCTTTATTTCAGAAAATGTAGCAGTTGCAGAAATTAAGAAAATTTGAGGTTTCAATCCTGAACTTAGAGATAGATTTAGTTACTATGAGAAATTCCCTATGAGAAATGGAAATAAGTTGCTTTTCACTGAAATTTGATTAACATAGCAATGTTGATTAATTATCATTTGATGAGAATAATTTAAGCAGTAATAATGTCAAAATAGAATAATTTTACCTGAGTTAAAAAAAGAAAATAAAAAGCAAATACATTTCAATCGCTAGAACACTGGACTCAAAACATCAGGTAGGGTAAGCTATGTAGTGGAATCAATGCCAAAAGAGACCTGATATAATCAAGTCATGTAGTAAATTTGATATGTTTTGGTAGGTTTTTTTTTACTATAATTCAACGGAAATGAATTTTATATGTTGAATGTGAATTTTGCTTATATCAGTTATTTTGGTCTACTCAATTACCGTAGTTTTGTAAAGTACATTACATTTAAAAATTTCAAAGCTAAAAATTTAAAAATTTCAAAGCTCTAACTTTTTCCCCACCAATACTGGAAGCAAGCTTCTACGCCTTATATATTTTCTAGGTGATATATGTTTAACTTTAGTATGTCATAGATTGAAGAATCAAATATAATTAGCATATTAGATGGAATTAAAATATTGAGGTGGTAACCGATTATAAATATCAGAATATCTATTTAATATCTCCATCCTCTTTTATCATGCCCTTTCCATCACATAAACATACCATTTCTTTTCCAGAAATCAAGAATCAGTCGTTTAATATTATTCACCATCTATATCTACCAATTATAAATGAGACATGAAATACAGTGGCAGTAATTATAATTTCGAAAACTTTAATAATCCTTCTTTCCTCCCACTATTTTTTAGTAAAAATATATTTTTAGAAAATAAATTCAAATCTCTCTGCTATCGCTACCGCAATCAAAAAAGAGTCTAATTTTCGGGAAACATAAGCTTGTCCCATTTTTTTTATGGGTAATCAAAGTCACCTGTTCTAAAGTCTCATGAGTGATATTTGTCTGTGTTTAAATGAGAAATTTACTGTGTGTGTATGTAGTGTGTAGAAGGATAGTCCGGGAATTTTGCTTGTCTCTCTGGGAACACATGAACCTCAGATTGTTAAACTTGTATAAATACTCGTTCACTTTTTTATTTCATAATTTGAAGAAATGATATCTGTGAGTACATTGCGACGCCGTTGGATATTTTTATTAGTAAGTAAAAGAGGGAAAGACATTGTAACTTTAACTAAGTGAAACTGAAACAAATTATTATTAGCCTAATTAACCGGTACTAGACATTGTTATCTGCATGGGTAGCAAATAAACTAGTGATACAGAATGCGTGATGGTACAAAATCTCAAGAGATACCATGAATACTAAATAGTTACTTTTTGGAGAAAATTTTTGTCTTATTTTGCTTTACATTGCACTGTAATGAAAATAGCGAAAACGAAGGCAAAGATTATTACAGAATCCTATCTGTTCCATCAATTTCAACACAACCTGCTCTTCAAGGAAGTGAAAAGATTCATGAAACAGTGAATGAAGAAGATGAAAAGGAGAAAATTGAGGAGAACAATGCAGTGATTTCAGAAACTGCTTTGCCTTTGCCGCCAAATGAGAATGAAAAGAAAGATGAAGTGTGTATATGTTGTCACTTCTGTTACCTTATAACGGATAAGATTTCTCCTAATACAAAATAGTGTAAAACATCTTACGATGAAACCATCCCTCATACCTTTCATATAATTATCGGTTTATAATTTTCAGCTGTGTTATCGTCGTTTGAATTATTGCTATGTTTTAATAGAGGGAAATTCATGTCATTTGAACTTGTGATTAACAGTAATTAAATTTTTTTTAGTTCATGATCGTTTTACTTTTTTCTTGCTATTTAACATTTTGAATTAATTTATAGTTAGCTAGAGCAGAGGAAAAACAGCGGGAGATTGTGGATGATGACGTCGATGCGGAGGAGGAAAAGCCCATAGACAAATCACCAGGTAACAGCGGATATTTTCTATATTAAATTTTTGGTTTTTTTAATGCAAGTTAAACAATTGAAAAAATTGAAAAACAAAATATGCTTGTTCAGTTGATGGCAGAAAAGATGGAAATAAAGAAAAGATGGATGTAAAGAGTAAAGATATAAAAGGAAACAAATATTCCAATGGATACATTAATACAACAAATGCTAACACGCACATGCTGACCGCAAGTGCTGCTATCGTAATTTCTGAGATGGATATATAAAATGAGTGCACAAGTAAAACAGTTAGCTTGGAATTCAGTATAATGGTGTGTGGCTTAGGATGAGCATGACATGAGAGTTTTTCGGAAGTAAAGTTTATGTATCAATTAAGTTAAGTAAGATATTTATGACTGATAGGGGAATTACGCATTCTGTCGAAGTTAATTTCTTGATTGCATCTGCAAGTAAGTTTTTTGGCTATATTTATATAATTTGATTCAGATGGACGATTTCTGAAATTTGACGAAGAGCTGGGACGTGGATCTTTCAAAACTGTTTATCGTGGCCTGGATACGGAAACAGGAGTTGCGGTTGCATGGTGTGAACTTCAAGAGAGTAAACTGAACAAGGCTAGTTTATATTTGGCTAGGGAACAAAAAAGGGCAAGTCATGCGCTGATATTTTCTTTTGTCTGATTGCTCTGGAATTATTTTTACATTAAACTTTGATGGAACATGTTGCATGACATTTGCTGATCGGGAATTTTCGTAAAATCTTAATTCCTTCGAACAGTTATATCGTTTCCGTTCTATGCATTATGTGAGTGGGATGCTGTAAGTTCAGTCACCGTGGAACTTGTTTTATTAGTTAAAACTTTTATTAGTTTGAATCTGTTAGTTTTTTAGATCTTTATTTTGCAATCTCTTTAATTGTTATTGCAAACTTGTTTTTTGAACTAGATGGTATTGCTGTAGAAGATAATTTTACCAGATAGATAAGTTTGTAATCTCGAAAATTTCAGTTGATTAAAATTATGACGTAATATTCAATAAATAATATTCAGTGTTGCAAACGAAATATTTTGTTTAGGCAGAAAGACAGCGTTTTCGGGAGGAAGCCGAAATGCTGAAGGGTTTGCAACATCCCAATATTGTACGGTTCTATGATTATTGGGAAAGACAGGATCATGCTGGCAAGAAAAGGTAATTCATGCTGTTTTAGTTAAGCTTATTTTCTCATCAGTTTCATGACTTATAGGCTTCGAATGCCTTATAATTAATCTAGAGCAGATGATTTTTTATGTTCCAAATTGCAAATTCTAGTTTTATTATGTTCCGAGCAGCAAGGCAGTGAACATAATGTTATCCGATTGATTTCAATATCATTAAGAAATAGTTTTAAATCCATGGAATTTATGAGTAAGTCTCGGAGTGTAATAATTGTAATAATTTATACGATGAAATTTCACATCATCGAGTGCCCTTTTTTCACCTCTTTTTTATTTTTTTTGATGCTTGCTACAGTATGCTATCATAAGTATGATGTTTAGGTACATTGTACTGGTAACCGAGTTGATGACATCTGGAACGTTGAAAATGTATCTGAAACGATTCAAACGGATAAACATAAAGGTTAGAGTAAAAATATACCATCGATAGCGATTGGAATATATGGTACATTTTTTATGGTGAGTTACTATTGATAGGAGTGTGAAGGATCAGTCTAGCAAAACTCTATTTTTGGAAATATTGGAATAGGAGAAGAAGAATAAATATTATTGATTGAAAATAAAATAAATTAACTTTTTTAGGTGTTGAAGTCATGGTGTCGGCAAATTCTGAAAGGACTTTCCTTTCTTCACTCACGTAATCCACCGGTAATTCATAGAGATCTCAAGTGTGATAACATCTTTATCACAGGCACAACAGGAAGTGTTAAAATTGGCGACTTGGGATTGGCAACTTTGAAAAATAAATCATATGCTAAAAGCGTTATCGGTAAGAAATATCTTTGCATTTTATTATCATTATCGACCACTATTCATGAATTGATGCTCTTTATTATCAGTTGATGAGATCATTTCCAGGAACACCAGAATTTATGGCGCCTGAAATGTATGAAGAAATGTATGATGAAAGCGTTGATGTTTACGCATTTGGAATGTGCTTACTGGAAATGGTTACTGGTGAGTATCCGTATAGCGAGTGTCAATTTCCTGCTCAGATTTATCGTAAAGTAACTACAGTAAGTTTCTCTTACCGTATTGTGCCGTATTAATCGTAGTTTTGAGTATTTTTACTGTCAATATTTAAACAAATTCATGCATTCACTCACTTTCAGAGCTTGCAAATAATATTTTAATCCTAAATTTGGGATGAAGATAGGTATAAATCCACTCATCCATAAGCAAGCTTATTTCCGAAATAAGTATGAGTTTATTTTATGTGGATAAATGGTATTGATTATTTGTTGTTGCAGGGTGTGAAGCCAGAATGCTTCAGCAGAATACCTCAACAGTATCCTGAAATTCGAGAGATTATTGACCGATGCATACGGGTTCGACGTGAAGAAAGGTATAAAACATTTTTGAATATATATTTTTTGTTCTGTAAATTCTTTTAAGTAGGTTATCCGAAATTATCAATCGCTAGTTGTTCTTTTGATTTACTCACTTAACTAAAAAGATGTTAAAGTTTGAATAATCGAATATCACCGTTTCATATTAATATTTTTCAGGTCAACCGTGAAACAGTTGTTATCGGATGACTTCTTCACCCCAGAAGAGCTGATCGGTATACGGGTTGAAATAAAAAATCGAGATGTAGATCTTAGCGATGTTAATTCTGAGGTAATTTATTGCATTTTTATGATATAATGTTCAAACTAAGCCACTTATAGTTGTGGAATTATATTAATTCAAATTTATTTCACTCGGAAATTTATTTTGGGAATTTTCTAGATTCAAATGCAGTTGAGAGTATTTGATGAAAAAAAGCGGAAGCAGTATCGCTTTAAAGAAAATGAAGGATTGCAATTTGCTTTTGATATTGAAACTGATAAGGCGGAAGAAGTAGTACAACAAATGATTGAACAACAGCATATTCCTGAAGAAGATACACGCATGATTACGAAGCTTATTAAGGATAAGGTTTGATTTGATTATTTTGTATGCAGAAATTTAACCGTTGAAAATCTTGAAATATAGCTGGATGTAAAATTTGTTTCTGCTGGGATATGAGTAGTTTTCAAATTTCAGGTTGAAGCATTCAAACGTGATCGCGAATTCCGACATGCGGAACTGAAACGTTTGCGAGAAGAGGAACAAAGAAAGCAGGAGGAAGAAGCAATTCGTAATGAAATGCTGTTGAGAGCCAGAGAGAAAGAGCGTATGGTGAGTGATATTGTTTAGATAAATTTTGCTTTAGCAGTTCTTCGGTTTTATTTTATAAGTTTTTCACATTTCGAAATTATCACTTGGTTTAGTTAGGATTTTGTGACCAGCTTAGCGCAGCATAAAGTCAAATACAGCTGGAAAGACTTCTTTGGAAAACAAGGAAGCTTTAAGATTATTGATGTAAAGATGTGAGATGCATTTTTGGTAAAATAAAAATCTCAAGGGAATAACTCACATCATAGCTAATAGTAGAGCATTCGTTAAAAATTATTGGAGTAAAATATATTTTTCGCAACTTTTTTCAATGTTGATGATTACACATTATCCTAAGGTAATCTGATATCCAACCTAAAATTCGAAAATACGGAATCGAATGGTTCTTAGCCGACTTCATAATAAAAAATATATTATCTTTTTATGTTTTATTAGTAACATGAACTCCAATAAGAGTGAGTTGATGTTACGAATGGATATTATGTAGTGTTCAGAACTTTCGTTTTTTGTTTTTATTTAGGAACGCGAGGCAGCTGCGGCTCTTGAGCAACAGCAGCAATCACAACAACAACAATCGCAGCAATCACAACAACAACCGCAACAACAACAACAACAACAGTCACAGCAACTATCACAACAACCGCAACCAACCGGTGCATCACCGGAAAATGATGACCATCACGATGGACCCGTGAAACATAAGAAATCGAAGAAAAAAGTTGTGATCGAAGTGCTTCGCGTTGTTACTGATGAAACTAATCACCAGCCAGTGAGCGGTTTTTGAAGAATTTAAACAAATGCACTAAAATTTGTGAATTGCACTTTACCAAATTTTATTTATTTAAGCCTTTTTAATCCAGTTCATTCAAGTATCGAAAGAAGCCTTTTTCACTAATATGTGAACATATCATCGAATATCTTCCTCTATTATATGATGTTAATTGTTAGGATAATCCTTTTTATCTGTTTCGATTTTACGGAAAAATTATTTCAGCTCGTCAGCTGCCGTCTTGATACATCGCACAAGACAGTTACATTTCAGTTTGCACCGGATTCTGATAAACCATCCGTGATTACGAAGAAATTAGTACGTTTCTTTGGTCTTACCTGTTAACAAGAAATATAAACAACCGATTCGTAACTCAATTAATTGTAATTGCAGTGAATATCTATGTGGGAAAGCACATCATTTTCATAGCTCTTGGGATTTTAAAATCGAAATTTCTGAATCCTCTTACTCTCGTTCCCATTTGAAACCTGGAAGTCTGGAAATGATTTAAGTAGAAGTGACTAGTTTCTAACAAAAGAGGAAAGAAAAAAAAATACCGAGAAAAGACAAAAAAAATTGGAGAAAAAAGAAGGTATAAAAGAAAAGATAAAAGCAGAGGGAAATCTTTACCACTCATTCCTACTGCAAATCTGATTTGGAGTCCGACTACTCGGATACAAAGACCAAACGTAGAAAAGAGTTCCGTGCTGTTCTTTCTGTCCCTCTCTCTAATTGTACCAAAATTTTTCGGTTTATTTCAGTTGGATCAGGATTGTTTAACGAATGCGCAAGTAGGAATTGTTATAGATCAGCTCGAGAAAATTATCCAGGTTTTTATCATATATGAATTTTTAATGCTGTGGTGTTTGCAATTGCAGCCAGATATTAAGATCATTTATATTATCGTTCATATCACCGTTTGTGTTGTCGTTCATATCTAATGTTTATTTCCAGATGATTACTGCTGATCCAGTGAAAACAATTGGTGTCAAAATTATTAGTTTTTTGGATTCAACATCAGCAAATGCCGGTACCGAAATGACAGTGAGCCAATCGAACAATTCAACTAATGCTGTTGGTTCTTCAGATATTTCGGGGGAATCAAATGGAACACTAACAGCTGCATCCTCTACACAGAATTTTCAGACTGTTCAACTTCCAGCAGCATTGAAAAATCAACCGCATGATCAAACGGTAGTGAATTCTACCACCTTACAAACGGTAGGTGATTTAGTTCCTTTTTGGAACTTTTCGAAACTATTACAGTTTTGTTCAAAGTTGTCCTTGAACTTCAAAAGTTATGAAATAGTAATAGTACAGAATTAACATTTGGTAAATCATGAATAATATTGAGGATTTTAAATAAATTCAACGTAGAAAAATGCTTTGATTGAAATATTTTGCACATTGATTTTGTTTTTTAGACACCGGAAACAACCATATCAGCCATTACTTCAAATTCATCGAAACCGGCTGCTTCTGTTTTGCAAAGTTTACCCGGAACAGCGCAGCTTCCACCTTCAACTCAACAATCCTCAGTTGTTTCACATACAGCTGTATCAACCACAGCAACAACTCCTGCCCCAGCTCCTGCCCCAGTAGCACCAGCAGCAACCAAGACATCACGATTCTTGGTCACCAAATCAACTTTGCCTATTGATGTTACTAATTCGGCTGCTCTTCCGTCTCTTAGTTCCAATCTTCAAGAACATACAGTAAGTACAAGCAGTATCTTTAGTAGCTTAATACTTTAAATATTTAACGAATGAAGAAGTCATCCTATTGAACTCTTTTTATACTATTGAAGTTGTAAATGTTCCTTGGAAGAGAAGGCGTTTGAGATGTGGAAGATAAAATTAGTAGGTATGCTTCTTTCTGTTATCTCCAATGTTTTTCTTCTAGAGCCATTAATGGAATTCTTTTTCAGAAAGATTTGTTAAAGTCATGTTTCTTGAATAGATGCTATTCAATGTTCTTAGCTGTCATTTCTTGTTCATCTTTAGAAGCTATTTGCTAATACGAGCTTGTCTGCACAATCTTCGCAATAGTAACACCACCGCAAGCAGATGAACCTATTCAGATCTTACCTGCTGTGTCTTTTGCTCGATTTTCATCAGTCAGATCATCGGGCCAATAATCAGCTGTTTTAAAGCTGTTAAATTTGGAAAAAAAAGTGGGAAAAATGAGCTGGATATTAATAAATAGAGTCTTTCAAGTAAATTGATTCAGTTGAATGGATCAGAGGACCGCTGTAATGTTCAATTTTAATTGGCGTTCATTGCTTCTTTAATTCATAATGGAATTTGCAACAGTTGAATATTCATTATTGTTAGTAGATCTGGCCTGTAATATTTTCGAGGCATTCTAGTGCAACTTACTATGTTTCTGTTGGTGAAATCATGATAGTGACAATCAGTCATATGGATAATAGTCCCATTAGCGAACCTTAGGCTAATCAGTCTTTTGCCGTAGAGTGCTATACTTCTCAGTTTGAATTCCCTACATATAGTACTTTTTCATCCATCCAGTAGCCTACCACTGCGCTAACTATATTTATAAAATTGAGATGTTTAAACTCTTTCTTTATCTTTCTTTATCTACTTGAAAAAACCATTTTTACACATCCTTCTTCAGTTATGTGCATTCCCTCATGCTTTTCTGCAATAAATAAGCATTTGTTGAGTAATACAGTTGTTATGTTAAATATTATCAGCACCAATACATTCATAGAAGGGTTATTTTTAAAATTTGAAAATTATTTTAAAAGCATAGCAAACAATAGATCTTGTTCATTTTTTAAAATTGAAACATATCTAACTTTGAAGGTAAAGGATAGTCCGCCAGTCGTAATTCCCTTCAGTAACAATACGTCAGCACCGTTAATCAATCCATCGCAGTCTGTGAATCCATCAGTAGCAGTTTTGCAGCACATGCCAAGTGGTGAATCACGTACAACGCTCAAAAAATTAGAGAGTGAACTTTGTAAAGTAAGCGGCGTAAATCCACCGAATAACATTCCGAGTGTAACGAATTCTGTATCAGTTCCACCGCCTGATCTTCCTGCAGTCTCTGGAGGTAAGAAAAAGATTCTGTATTTCGATTGGAATCAAACTAAATTATTTGGTAATAGTCTGATGATGACCAGCTAGATTCTATGTTTCACGGAATCGAACTTTGTCTATCTCGTATATGATGTACATTACTGACTGCCGAATTGTTTTGCTTAATCTTTTCAATAAATTGGTTGTCAGCAGTTATTTAAAAAATACTTCAGACATTTGAATTTTTTTCAGGTTCATTACCTTGTGCATCTTTACCGCATACGCCATCCGTTTGTAGCAATTTGACGCATAATTTGACTGATCTAAATGATAAATTGCTGGCTTTGAGTCAGAAAATGCAGGGCGAACAAACGCAAATGGAAGAACATCAGAATAACGAAACCGTTACACCAATAACACAGACACAGCAATCTCCAGCAGTCACACCCATTTTACCTAATGCTTCGACAGTACCATTAGCACCGACAACACTACCAAATGTCGTATCTGGAACGATAACACCTGGCAAAACAAGCGCCACTCCGGAAGCCGGAATTCTTCATGTTGATACATTAAACGGACTTGCTGATGCTCTGCAGAAGGTTATCGTTCGTTTTCTCATTATTTGAATTAATAAATGCTTATGGATCATTTTGTGAATCAATTTACCATTCTTTTTCAGGTAATTCATGTTGAGCCTCGTGAAACTGGTTCTGTACCACCACCAGGTGATACTGCCAGTTATATCGCGCCGTTATCTGTTGAGCACCAGTCACCAAGTACAACAAACATGCTCCACGCAGGTGTTACAAGTTTGCAGGATATCAGTTTCGGAATAGATAGGGTAAGTTACATCGGCAAACTTCTATTTGTTGTTATGCAGCTGACATCATATTTGTATTTTGTGAAATACGTTATAGATAAACATCGGGTATAGAAATGGAAGTCGTAATTGAAGAGAGTAGAATTCGCAAAACGTAAGTTACATGTGTCATTGTACAAAACGTAAACGTTTTGTCAATCCAAGCAATTCTTTGGGGTCAAGGAAAATTGAAGACGCATGTTGTTTCTTTCCTTTTGCATATTTCTTCACTTGCGCTTGAAATGGGCTTATTGTGAAAGCTCTCTAATAAGTTTTGGTCCATTCATTTCAATTTTTTTTTGATTAATTAGTTGGTGAAACCATTTTTTTCGTTGCGGTATCTTAATTCAAGCATTCTTTTGATCGAATTGCTTCTTGTGCGTCTTTAGAAAGGCTTGTGTTTAACAGCGGCAGCAGCAATACAATTTGTAGCTGCAAGCCCATTACGGTTTTGCTTGTGTCTTATCAATTGCATCCTTTTGTATATCATTTGACTAGTGAGCAATGATTTCATCTCTTATTTAGGTTCCATGACTTTCTCTTCTTAGACTCGAAAATGAATTAATTTATACCGGAATTTTCTTTCTGGCACATATTAATCCTAAAATATAGACCGAACTCATTATTCATGTTGAAGTTTCAGATTTTTGCGCAGTTTGACTCCCATTAATTCATTTTCATCTTCTAATCTTCTCTGGTACTCATTAATTTTAAAATGTATATTTCCCATCAGTGCAAAATTACATTTTACTACAGAAAGCCGTGCCTGCCAATGATACAAGAAAGCATACATCGGAAGATGTGAAAAATATAGGCAATGGAGAAGGCGAAGGAGGGGGAAATGTAAAATCGGAAGATAGGAATCATCCAGGAGTAGCATCACCAAATGCTACAAACAACGATGAAGCAGTGTTAAATGTTCTTCCAACAGCTACCCAAATAAGTAACGGTGCCAATGCAGTGATACCGGATAGTGGTGGTCCAGCAACGAATTCAGCTCCGCTAGCTAAATTTGAAAATTTGGAAACAGCGCTAACAACGACATTGGGTACACATGGTTGTTGTCCAATGACACCTCATATTGTTAATTCAACGAATCCGAATTACCGTATCAGTCATGTTGCAAATATAGATACTCAACAAACAGGCTTAACGCAGGTTTCATCATTGGATGGAATCCAAACGTCTCAGCAACCTTGTATTACGATGTCCGAAGGAGGTGAAGCAACGCAAAAATCGACCGGTGAACTTGCTTCAACGATAGTACCGAAAGGAGCGGTATTTCATGTTGGTACACCACCACCAGCACATTTCAGTGATTCGGCTAGTCAGACCGAATTGATCAGTATACGTGATCCGCTCGACCACATGTTTAGTCCAACAACGTCTTACAACTCCGACTATGATTTTCAGGTTTTTCCTCTTTTTTTCGTTTCCATGAAAGCAATAGCTTTTAATTTAACTAATTCGCAGGTTGTATACAAACTGAGTAGCACGGGTTGTTTGCTATATATATATATATTAAATTAGCAGGGTTATCACCGTCTTCACTGATCACTATCATACTACTTCGCTGTTATATGAAGCAGTGTTATGTCTGCACATTCCTGCACTTTTCAGTATGATTGCGTCTTTCCGATATTTTGCGCCTATGAGCTACCTGTATAATCTATCAATTTTTCTTGTCAGAATGAACACCTGAAGTCGCTTGTTCTATTATTTTTATAAAGACTGCTTGAGGAATGCATCAGTGTGCTTTTATGACGGAATGCACATAATATATATAATTTCATTCTATCCTTCTATGTTTCATTTCCATGTTTTCTTTCCCTCTTTTTTTTTATAATACTTATTGTTCTACTTTCATTCCTTATCTTTTTTGCGAATTTTGACTTCTTATATAATTATTTTCGAATTTTCTGGGGGTAGTTTTATGATTTAACAAATTTCATTCCTAAAAGAATCGAGAACAGCAATGGAATAATTGTCTAAGATAAGTAAATAGTTGGATTTGATAGATTGGCTCAAAGCGAATTTTTCGAGAGTTTTACTATGAGCATTTTTGAGATAGATTTTTGCACATATTTTTCTAAGAAATGAGAAATTAAAATTTTTGCGTATACTTTTTTGCTATAATTTTTACTTTTTAGCTATAATTTTGCCTTGTAGGAAGCAATTTATCACTGAATCATTTTTCGAATTGTAAAAAAAAACAGTGAGCATCATTTCTCTAACTGTCTGAAATGGATAGAGTTATAGAGATGCTCTAACACGAAATAAATATGTTGTGCATCATACCTTTTGAGTTGTAATTTTCCATTAACTTTAGATTGAAGAAGTTTAGATTAGAAAAATTTTTACATAAAAGTCGTAAAGATTTCTAGCGGTCTATTTTGTATCGAGTTTTTGCCTCCCCTTTTTTGTTAGCCCTTTCAAGGTTGAAAATCTTTTATTGCTTATTGTAAAAGTTATATTAATATGGCTATTTTCATTTGGAAGATAGACATGGTTGAGGTGTTAATAATATATGTTCATCTATCCGTATGCTTTCATTCCGCCTACCGACTTCAACTTTTTGTGATGTTTAGCTTAAAATTCTACAGCTTTTTTTCTATTTGTTGCATAAAATGTCAAGTTTCTGCTAAGCCTGAAAAAAAGCGTTCCTTTACAATATTCGTTTTTTTTTTTGCAGAATAAGTGATAGTATTTTTTCACTGTGCTAAAACTGTCGTTAATGATTCAAAGCGTAGGCATAAGTCCGAGGTTGACTGAAAAGGATTAAAAGCTGTAATTCGGATCCTTTTTTAGAGTACAGTAATTGTTGTTAGAGGATATGTGTCCTGTAAACAGTTCTGATGCTGATGATTTGGGTATTTTTCGAAATAAATAGAGCTGTTAAAACATATGCAAGTATCTCATAAATGATAATAGTTTTGAATAAGCAATTTTTGGACTAAAATTTAGCAACAATAATTCTTTAGCCACTCACAATTTCTCCAATGTTGTGTTGAATTTTTTTAACTTTTCAGGTTTGTTTTAAAATTATACTGTTATGCTTTTACTCTTTTGTGTGTACATGTTTGTGTTTTTTTTTTCAATTTCTTATGCTTGTTTGCAATGCATGCTTAATAACTACAGGTTTATCAATTCATAAGAAATCTATTGATCGATGAGAATAATCGAATCAACCTGCCACCTCTGGAAATATCACAAGTGAAGTTCTATTTATGGAGCTTATGCCTTCTTTAATTATATGATTCATGTTGAAGTCCATGAGTCTAAAATTTCACTTCAAACTACTTTATTCCATCAGGATTTGCATATTCGTTCGTTTACTTTTACACATGCTTCTGTGCTAACAGATAGTGCACATTCATATTTGCAATGAGTTGTTTAATGTTTAAATATTGTTCTAACATCGGGGTTCGCATTTTTTTATAACTGAAAACACTTGGGTTATTCGTGATTTCTTTCCCTTCAAAAAGATCACTTAAAAGAAGGTAGAATTGGTTAATTACTATTCAATTTTGTGAATTTGCAGTTTATTGAGGTGCATGCATGACATTTTCGTCCCATGTATTTGCATGATATCCTCAGTACTTATCACACCTCTTCATATAGTTGGTATACACTGTCAAATATACAGCAAAACGCAGTATTCTTTACTAAGAACCCTGGGTAGGAAAATTATAATGAGGATCAAAATTATCTTTTATAGTCCTAAGTAGGTAAATATATATGGGAAGTCGTCTTTCTTTTTTGCATAGACATTGAAAAAAAAACTTTTCAATTCAGATAACTATTAAGTAAAAAATTATATATAATGCCAGTTCCATGGATTAGTATATAGTAATAGGATGGTGTTTGCTATTCTGATATTTTTCATGAATCGTAGGTTTGCCAATTTAAAGAATTTTTTCAGCTTGATGAGGAACTTAATGATGAGGACGATGAAACAATACAATCACTTATACAAAGGTATTTATTTTGTGTGAATAGTTCTCTCTTCTATAGAACTTTATTATTCAGATATTGTTTTTGAGTTATGCGTTGACTATGGAAGTTGTAGAATGAGTGTTATAATTAATTCCATGCCATGTTTTGCATTTAATACTATTTTTACCAAATATTTATCATTTTTTACCAACTAGGGATTTTATGAATATGAATATGTGACTTTGATTTCTTCCTTACTATCTTTGTTTGTTATTTCACTATTTCAAACAATTATTTTTAGTTACTATTTAATTTTCTCTGATAGTGAAGAGTTCATTTTGAAGACACAGACTTGAAACGGAATTGTTACGCGAGCGACAGCGTCGTGAATTACAAGTTGCACGCCTACGTTTACGTCATAATCAGCTGAACAATGGAAATGCATTGCTGGCAGCAATTGGTGGTGGTTTGGCTCGTTCTATCGATAGCTCTGGAAGTAGCCCACATGGTCCAATTCACATTCCATATTATCCTATTGCCAGTTCCCATATCACTTCTCGATTGACCCTTCCTTCATCGATATCGCTTCCTGGCAGTCCACCACAGAATAGTTTCCTTGGACAACATCTTGCACCATTAAGAGATATCCTAGTATGTGTTTATTTTATTGCCAATAATATATGATACTGGGCTTGTCACCACTGCTTGAATTCAGATATTTATATTTCTCATTCTTTTTCTGCCTCAATTTTTTCTAAATTCTATCAGTCATTTATTATTTACTTTTACATTTGTTGTAGCCTCGACGAGCATATGCGACATCGTTGGTTGAATCTACTCGTCATACATCAGTTGATGCAGCGTTATCTCGTAGATCAACTCATCCCTCAACTCATTATTCTTTTCAAATTATCGGTAATGCAGTTGATCAGCATCGTCATCAATGTTACCACCATCAGCAACAGCAGCAGCAGCAGCAACAACAGCAACAGCAACAACAGGGGAACATCCTGAGCAACAATTTAGATCATGGTAATTTTCATGGAGGCAGTTTGTCAAGACAGCCAGTACCAACAATCATGAATAGAACGAGTGCTATTGCGGAGGTCGCGCCGTCGCTCAATTACAACATTGAACGTCAGCTGCGTGAAACATTTAGTACACCTCCGCAATGAAGCAGCTTGTAGTTAAGTTGAACTGTAGTGGACTTTCTTACCATTTTTTTCCCACTTCTGATCTATTTGGAAGGTATTGCTACTAAATACATCTTGTCGGTTAGTCTAACATAATTATTGCAGCCCTATCTAAATTAAATTATATGAGGGGTTCGCAAGATCAGCTTTTTGATTTATTTACTAAATGAGCTCTCAGTTGTTTGTACAAATGTAACATTCAAAAGTTTGTGTTTATAATCTTTTCATTTTTCCCTAGATTTATAGTTGTATCCATTACATGTTCCATTGTATTAAGCATATGTTAGGTTTCACATATTATTGCTAATACCAATCCTATTTAATAGTTTTTTATTTATTTCTTGGTTACATTCGTTTGTTATCGGATGATGCATGCGGTCAATAGTCTATTTTTTACTTGAAAAAAGGGAAGAAATTTTTTGCTGACTAAGTGGAACATCGTTTTCTGTTAATAGCATTTGTATTTTACTTATACAGTCCATTTTTTCCTTCTCCCTTCTTTCCCACTAATATCTCAGTTGGTTCCAATTTCATAGATAAGTTGAAGTTGATGAATTTCTTTTGGATTTGTGAATAAATTAAATTGGTTTGCTTTGAGGTTTAGTTAAATGGTAGAGTGTGAATAAGGTAAAAAATTTGCTAAATTCATTTTTTATGTAAGGTTTTTTAAATCAAGTTTCAGAAAATTAAGAGGAATGTCTATCACAAACGGTTTAGTGCTGAGAGCAAAATTGATGGTAGTGATGGTGGACAAAATTTAATTAGAAAGACGCAAGCATCCCGAAACTGATCTCTTTGCTTACAAAGATACACGATAACATATAAACACAAACAGTTATTGCTATCATGTTACTTGAAATTCATTGATTTTTATTTATTTTATTGAATTGCTCCTTTTCTCTCAATTTCGAGCTTTCAGGATGATTTCGGTACGGTTTCTGTATCGATACAGGGAGCGCAAGAAAATTGTCATTACTAACCTATAGTTTTGAAGCTTTCGATTTAAAAAAAAAAAAAAAACTTTCAATACATTTTCTTCGGTATCCCATTCTGTATTGTATTTTATCTCTTTTGTACTGGTTTTTCCTTCGCTATTGCGCTGGATAATTAGAAATGTGCGTCATATGTACATCAGTAAGCTAAATTTAAATTCGAAATTCACATGGCTGTATTTGAAGTGTTTGAATAATACACGTAATATTATTGCGCTTGTATGATTGTAATGCAGCCAAGCTTTATTATAATGTTCATGATTATGTCTAAAAAAGCAGAATGAAGAAGAAAATATGTGTAATGTATGTTTGCTTTCAACACACTTTATAAAGCATATTTTTCACTAATGTTTTTATTCGCTTTCTATTTTTCACTAGAAAAGATAATTATCGTTCAAGAATTTGACAGAAAAGGCTCAAAGATGATGAAAGAATTTTAATCATTCACAATGCTAAGAATTAGATGTATCCTTATTCCTTTTGTCTGTGTTTTTGATCGCGTAACAATCTGAGCTCAAGTTATAAGTAAACAGAAATGCGAAGCAATTTTGAAATTTCCCTGATTCCCGCTAGAAATATAGTTTGATTAAAATGATTAACCAAACTGTGCATGAGTTGGCAAGATTCGGTGCTGCTTTTTTAATTTTTGCAAAGAATGGAAAATTAGAGTGTAGAACGAACGATTGATCTGACCATTGTAAAAATGATGAAAAGAATGCATGAGATTAAAATTGAAACGGTTTTAAATTGAATAACCTGTAAATCTGAAGCGTAATGGATCTTTTTTTTTTAAATATATTTTGGTGCTTGTTTGTCAATTAAGTAAATTCTGGTATCTCATGCTCTCTGATCATTATTTTTAGTTGTGGTTGCTTTCCGAAATGCATTGCGAATGGTCATGGAATGTCATCAGATGAGGCAATCAGAATTTTCCATAGTAACCTGTTTTTCTTGTCTGAAAGTTCGCGCAGCATTTTGTCAAACGATATTTCACTATACAGTTTTCATTTTTCAAGTAATCTCATCATTCATCAGAGGGAAATACCCATAGTGCATCAATCATTAAAACGATCGGTCATGAAAATTTTCTCTTTTTTTTTCTCTCTCTCTCTCTCTCTCTCTCTCTCTCTCATAAACTGATTCCGTTCATCATCAAAATTTGTCAAATGGATATTATCAATGAAGGGCAGTTAATGTCTTAACAAAGTTAAACAATAATTTTGGAATGTTTTGTTACATGCTAGCATGTTTCTGAAGAAAAGTTTTTTTTGAATTTAAATGGAAATAAATAAAATACGAATAGACCTGAATTGAACTTTGAAGATGAAATACCACTAAGCAGTTAATTATATTAGATAATGAAGTCATCTAATTTTTTTTTTTCCTAATAATCTCACGATTCTCTGGTAATCCTCAAATTATTTCAACTTCAATTAATACATTTTTTTCTAAAATTGTCAAAAACAACGAAATCACTGAATAAAATATTTGCAACGATAACAATATTAATTA